CCCCTGGAAAAAAACAAAAAAAACAGTCAATTGGTGAAACGCCTGATATATTAGGGGGGAGCGGGGATTGGGGGCTATAAGCACAAAAAGATCACGCGACACGTAGAAATGGGAGACAAGACGCAACAGTACTACAGCGTTTACGTAGAGAGACAAACAGATAGTAGATGCCACTTACTTGCCAACAGGATTGACTATACCTTGTCCAGCGGCACCCAGACCCTCGCCCTCTTTCCAACCCATCTTCTCTAGCATCTGATAGCCGACATTCTCGCAAGTCAGCTTGAAGTTTTTGTAGTCTGAATAGTCGGGTTCACGACCGTCCTTCAGAGCCTAATATTTACAGGAAAAATAGAAACAATCTTGTAGAGGGATAGTTGGCACAGCATGCACACCTCAGCTCCCTTCAGTTACGCCACTGACGCCAAAGAAAAACACAGTCATTGTATGGGCCTATGGGTCTACCGTGCAGACCAGGCTCCGACCATTGCAAGCGGTCGCATGGTTCGAAGGAAGCGGAAAAGGGTGCGTGCATCAGCGAGATGCGTAGGGAGAACAGACCAGCCTGTTGTTATCATTATTCAAGTACATACTAACTACAACTGTGAAGCTTTCAGGAAAAGCGCACTTTACCATAATATTCCAGATAACGTTTTGAAAAGGAGACGCTATCGCCGAGACAATAATTTTATTCGTCCTAATTTCCGAATTCGGAGATGGAATCGGATGAGGGTACTTGGTGCACAGGGGTTGTAGATACCACGAGAATGCATATATGTGTAGCAGCTCTTACATCAACACAGGTGGTTGCACTTGATTCGATAATTGTTTAACAGCTTGAATCGGAGTCGCCAACAGCGGCAATTTCATCACCAACGTTGGTTATTGACGTGATTAGTATTCGGACATTTGACTCACCGACACTGATACCAATAACGATAGTCGCCCGCACGCTCCGCGCATGACTAATTACCTTGCACAGGCAAAGTGTCAGCACTGAACATGGGGGGGGGGTGCACTGAGCTTGTTTATGAACTGGGAGCCGGAGAACCATGACCTAAGCAACTTACGACTTAAGTGATTGTCACTTCTCGCGAAATATTTGGTATGGTCAAATATGAAGGTGTGAACGGATCAAATTGAATAAATCATGACTCGGGGGTTAGTACCAGTCCTGCTTACCACCGCTGCATGTTCAGTCATCCGCGTCCACCGTAGTCTTCCAATTTTTCGGAATTATTTGCTCAGCCAACAACTACGCAGTTCCTAATATCAATGGTACTGATAATATAGAGGTTACTCCTCATTTACTGTCATTTTAATATAACACTTGGGTTGCAAGGATTAGCTCAGCTGTTCCCCGATGCTTCCATAATCCACAATGGGTCTCATAAAGAGGTACAAATTCAAGGTTAAGAGTGAGGCAACTGGAGAGAATTCGGAAAACGATTTTACCGAGAGCACTGTTAAGGGGAGTCGAACGATTATCATCACAGAACTATCGATCTATTTTTGGTTTGCGTAGGTGAACATGTGTTGCGACTTCGAAGTCCTACGGGATTTGCCCTTGTCGTTACACCTGAAGCAAACGTAAAATCATCGATCGCACATATGTTGTACGGCTTTGACCATCTGCGGCAGGGCAGGCGTTCAACACTGTTCTCCACTTAAGGAAGTCTGTTGGTAGATTTCTCATAGATTAACCACTGAGAACGCATCTGTAACGCTGCGGGATATATGCCTTCGTCGAAACTAGAATCGGGCCAGCTGAGCCGAGCAGCAGTGACGTCCTCGTAACCTCGCATACGCACACAGGATAGCTTGGACGACGAAACTCACCAGTGACCCAAGAGATTCGCGCAGCAGCGGGGACTTGAGCGTGAATTAATTTGCAGAGGTGTGCCCTGGTGCAATATCTTCTGTACTCATCCCGCACTCACCGTCTGGCTTGTGCGAGTCAGGCCCGCTAAGAATGAGATTGGGTACGCACACGTACACGATAAAGACGGTTCGCCCATCGTTAGCAGCAGTCGTCAACATTACCGTGTTTAGGGGAGGGGGAGCACATCTACCAATTTCTTCGATGGTCACTGTTATGTACAGTAAATTCTCTATCTCACGCAATGTCAACCAAAATCTTCAAATGCGTTTTCAATTCCAACGAATAACTTAAGCAAGGCTGTAATAATAATTGTCTTAGCCTGATCTCGAAATATTTCAGGCACGTCAAGACGCCGGATTTTGAACGAGCCTTTTTTCCGACTGCCTGATTGTAAGAATATATACTTAAGTAGTATGTAGTTCTTTAATTGATTTTATGGAAAACGTGCACGAAAATATCCCTTTTTGTGCTTGTTTGGTAGCAGATTACGCCTTCAAATTTAATACTTGAACAAAAGGGTATCTTTCAGTTTTAAGAAAGTTTCTAATTTAGAGATGTTTTACGACCGTGAAATGCTCTTTTATAATATGTCGTATCAGTCAATTTATTAATGTTGTCTGCAAATTATACAACATGATCCACATCAACTACAAAATGTTATAAGAACTATGCGACATCTTCCTCATACCGCAAGGAAACATGTGCTTTTCCCTAGATAGAATGTATAGAGCATGTGGTTTGGAAACCTCGAATCTAAGTGTAACGATGGGTAAAATAAATAAAAAATTCACAAGTTACAAAGTTACAAGTTACAAAGACTCCCTTTCTTCGAGTATAAACTTTGAAGACGACTGTAATCAATCTTACAACCCCATTTAAGTAATTTGTGCAAACTAAAAAAAACATTTCAGAATCTCGGTTTACATTTCACGAGATCAGGAATTTACTGTAAGTTAGCCACTCCCTTCATAGCGAATTGTTTGGTGAATTATCGGGGGTACTTAAATTGGAGATAGCACAGACCATCAGTGAGTATGAGGGTGGCAGGAGGAAGCCTACGCAGCACGAGATAGCATAAACATCGCCATTTAGTGCAGAAAACCAAGTCGGTCATAGCTTTATCGGTACTGTGCTGAAACAGGACTTGAAAAATGTGTACGTAGTCACGTCACTTCGCAGAAAGAGACAAACGGGAATCAGCTTACTTAAAAGGAGGAAACGAGACACTAACTGGACAGTGAAAAAAACTTACTCGATACGTCTCCATGAACCGTTCCAATTCGTCCGGAGGGAGAAAGTCACCAATGTGGTGTTTGCCTTGACCCATTTCCGTCAACTTTTCAGCCCACTCTGCGAAAGACAAGAGCAAAAGGAAAGCAATAAAAAAATTAAAACGAAGGAAGATAAAATCGAATCGGGCGTTTAGCATACAGAAGGCTCCTTTAAAACTACTGCTTTAAATACCACTGTCTCAGAGGAAACCGCAATTAACAGAACCTTCTTTGAGCCCTCGAAATCAACATTTTCCATATTGCAGACTGGCGAGACAAATAGGCTCATGGAATTAAGAACCCGGCCGCGATGGCTCCCTCCTCCCTCGTATGACAACTTTCGTCTAACTAACGCTCTTGAAATTGAGGCTAAAGCATATTTGACTTAGAAAAAACATATCGAACCCATCACTAGGCGTGCTAATCAAGGTTTGCGATTGAGATGTGACGAGTAAGGGGTGTCCTTACTATAAAATAAATCACGCGCAAGTCGGTAATGCCTCTTAGGCACCAGTGATGCTCAAATAGCTCTACGGACGATCGGTCCGGGCTAGGAGTGTCCACCTCTGTGCACCACAACGTAATGTAGCATGTACAGTATCTGTCCTATTTCATGAAATCTTGGCCGAAGAGTTATACAGTAGTCGCCGGCTATCAAGCCCACCTCGGGCCCAGACCAAATTGGG